AAGGAGTGAAAAAAGAGAAATTACTTCTGATACCACAAAAATAGAAAATGCCATCTATAAATATTATAAAAGTCACTGTACACATAAACATGAAAATGTGGAGGAAAAGGGCAAATGATTAGAAACACACAGCCTCCCTAGGCTCGATCAGAAAGAATTAGTATTTCTGAACTGACCAATATCAAGTACCAAAATTGAAGCAGCAATAAAATTAACTTCCTAAAACAAAGTCCTGGACCAGATGGATTCACACCCAAATTTTACGAGACCTATAAAGGAGAAATGGTGCCTATGCTCCAGAAATTATTCTACAACGTCAAGGAGGAAGATATTCCCTCCAACATATTTATGAAGCCAACAGCAACCTGATACCAAGACCAGGAAAAGATACAACAACAACAACAAAAAATAAAACTGTAGACCAATGTCTCTTATAAATATAGAGGCAGAAATTCTGAGTAAAATCCTAGCAATCCAAATTCAGGTGCTTATCAAAAAAGCAATTCATCATGACCAAGTGGGGTTCATTCCAGAAATCCAGGGATGGTTTAACATATGCAAATCTATAAATGTAATTCACCACATAAATACAAGTAAAAACAAAGACCATATGACCCTCTCAATAGATGCATAAAAAGCATTCATCAAAATTCAGTACCCTTTTATGATAAGCATGCTTAACAAAATAGGCATAGACAGGACTTACCTCAAATTGAAAAAAGTCACATATGACAAACCCACAGCAAACATCCTACTGAACAGGAAAATTTGGAAGCATTCCTGCTTAAAACTGGAACCAGACAAGGTTGCCCTCTATCATCCCTTCTATTCAACATAGTGCTGGAAGTCCTAGCCAGAGCAATCAGACAAGAGAAGGAAATCAAGGGCATTCAAACTGGGGCAGAACAGGTGAAACCATTGCTCCTTGTTGATGATATGATCTTATATCTAGAAAACCACAAAGATTCTGCCATGAGACTACTGGAATTGATGTACAAATTCAGCAGAGGCTCAGATGGCAAAATCAATGTGCACAAATCAGTAGCATTCATATATGAGAACATTAGTCAATCTGAGAAGCAAATCAATGACTCAATACCCTTCACAATAGCAAGAAAGAAAATAAAATACTTGGGAATACATTTCACAATGAGGTGATAGACTTCTACAGGGAAAACTATGAAACACCGAAGAAGGAAATAGCAGAAGACTTAAAAAGATGGAAATCCATACCATGGATTGGCCGAATCAACATTATTAAAATGTCTATACTACCCAATGTGATCAATGGAATTCCTATTAAAATATCAACATCATTTTTTGCAGATCTAGAAAAAATAATTCTACTCTTCAAATGGAACCAGAGATGACCCCATATAGCCAAAGCAAACTTAATAAGCCTAAAGAACAAATTGGGTGGTATCACTTTCCCATACATTAGGCTATAGTACAGACTATATAGTAAGCAAAAAAGCATGGTACTGGCACAAGAACAGAGACATAGACCAATGGAACGGAACTGAAAACCCAGATATAAAACCATCCTCATATAGCTAGCTAATCTTTGAAAAAGCATACAAAAATATACACTGGGAAAAAGAATCCTTATTCAATAAATAGTGCTGGGAAAACTGGATAGCCACATGTATAAGACTGAAACAGGATCCATACCTTTCAATTCTCACTAAACTCAACTCATGGTGATAACAGACTTAAACCTAAGGCATGAAACTATAAGAATTCCAGAAGAAAATGTTGGAAAAACACTTACAGACTTCGGCCTAGGCAAAGAATTTATGAAGAAGACCCCAAAGGCAATCACAGCAACAATAAAAATAAGTAAAAGAGACTTGATCAAATTAAAAACTTTCTGCACAGCTGAGGAAAGTATTACTAGAGCAACCAGACAACCTATAGAAAGGTATAATATATTCATATGCTACATGTCCAATAAAGGGCTGATAACTAGAATCTATATAGAACTCAGGAAAATCAGCAAGAATAAATCAACCCCATTAAAAATTGGTCAAAGGACATGAACAGAAACTTTTCAGAAGAAGACAGACTAATGACCAGGAAACATGAAAAATGCTCAGCATGTTTAATCATCAGGGAAATGCAAATCACAACCATAATGAGATATCACTTAACTCCAGTGAGAATGGCATTTACCAAAAAGTCACAAAACAACAAATGTTGGCATGCATGTAGAGAGATTGAAACACTCATACACTGCTGTCTGGGACTACAAACTAGTACAAACTCTAGGAAAGTAATATGGAGATATCTCCCACAGCTAAATGTAGACCTACTCTTTTATCCAGCAATTCCACTACTGTGTATTTACCCAGAGGACAAAAAGACATTCTATAAAAAGGCTTCTGCACTTTAATGTTTATAGCAGCACAATTCATAGTTGCAAAGATGTGAAAACAACCCAAGTGCCCATTAGTACATGAGTGCATTAATAAAATGTAGTATATGTATACCATGTAGTACTACTCAGCCACAAAACAATGGTGATGTAGGACCTCTTGCATTAACTTGGATGGAGCTGGAGCCCATTCTACTAAGTGAAGTATCCCAAGAATGGAAAAACAAGCACCACATGTACTCACTATCAAATTGTTATTAATTGATCAACACTTATGTGCATATATGTTAGTTACTTTCATTGGTTGTCAGGTTGAGGGAGGCGGAGGGGATATGTATATTCATACCTAATGTGTGGGGTGAGCAGTGTCTGGGGGATGGACAAACTTGTAGCTCTGACTTGAATGGGGTAAAGACAATACTTGAAACCTAAATATTTCTACCCCTGTAATATTCTGAAAAATATACATATATATTTGAAAAAATAGGATAAAAATAAAGAACAAATTAACAACAACAACAACAAAAAGAGTCTGAAGATCCCAGGGAAGGACACAGGTTCAGAGTGAGTGGATAAGCAATATTGCATCTTCCATCTCAGCTTGGGTATGTGGTGATGGGAAGGGACCTCAAGGGGGCTGGCAGGTTGGTGCTTTGTCCTCAATAAGCTCCCATTTCACTGGCAGCAGAAGACTTGGGCTGATGAGGGTAAAAAGGCTCTTGAGCCAATGGGGAGCCCGCCAACTTCTAGAGGTCTGAGGGAAAGTGAAACAAAATTCCCACCTTCCCTTTTCTATATGCTCTAAGCCTCTTGGGAGTTGATCTCTGCTGATATCTTGCTCTGTCTTGTTCTGCTCTGAAACTCCTTCCTGTGGAATTTCTGGTAGGTTCTGGCACTTTTCCCTCAGAATTATACTTGATATATATCTTTTTATAAATGTAATCTAAAACTTTTCCTTCTTTTTGAGACAATCTGGCAGCCTATATCTCTGGTCAGCCATATTCTTCTCTTCTACCTTAACTTTATTTTCTAAATTTTCTCACTGACTTTTTCTTCAGTGATATCATATAGATATCATATGGATAGCATTTTCTTAGAAGAATACATAAATATTGGAACTTACCATATTTTCTATAAATTAAAAATATGTGTGGAATCTTGCTGATTCATTCTCTTAGTGTCATTGTATGAAACACATGTTACCTGGAATTTTTCTTTTATAAGATGGTTTAGATATTAATCAACCTTAGTTTTCACAGTTAGAAGACATATATATTGTTCACAGAAATCCATTATTTATGCTATAAATAATGAAATAGCTATTGATCATCAATAATTGTCATAGTCAGGATCCAGTTCTGAGGAGCCAATGAAAATTCAATACACTTTTACTGATACAATTTTGGTTATGTGGTACTCAGCTCTGGCAGTCCTAAATAGAGTTCCTATGTTTAAATTATTGCCATCATATTTTCTGCCCAGACTTACCACTGGGGCTAGACAAATCATTTAGGGGATTGGAATTCAGCAAAGCTAAATTAGATATGACAAGAAAATATCTCAGACCATCTAAATAATGTGAAAATATATATGTCATCAGTTTAGAGACTAAAGCAATTTTCTTTCAGATATTTTCTTTGCCATGATTTAGAGACAATCCATTGTCATGAAAAGTTTGGTTCATTATGAGTTTTCCACGCATTGTAAAGAGTATATAGTGGCAAAATAGAACCTTAGCTATGCTACAAAGCATACACAGTTAGATAGTCTAGGCTATACATACTTACCCTTACAGCTTTGATAAGGATTCACCCTACGTTTTAGAATCAGGATCTTCTGATGGTAATTATGTTTTATTTTTTAAATAACCAATATATTTATTCTTTGCCTTCAATTACTTTTGCATGGTAGAATGAATTTTGCTGAATTCTGAAGTGCTATTTTAATATCTGTCATGGTTTTCTTTTATGTTTTTGACCATGGCTGCAGTCCACCAGTCGATGGTTAGGGATTTGGATATTATCTAAAAATAATTAAGTTGAATTCACTAAACTTTCTGAAGGGCATTGTTGGTCGGTTATTTTTAGTATCTGTTTCACTATATGTGTTTGTGGTGCTGCCTGATAAAGACTTCTTAGGAGAAATAATTTCAAACTTACACATTCACTTTATCTCTACAGCCATTTCCTCCCTACCTCTTTATACCATTATGCAGAAAATAATTTTAGCTGCTTTATATTAATATAAAAGAATATAATTATACTCCAGGGGCTGGCCATAGAGATGGCATAACATGTTTGGATTTCGTCCTTCAATGTATAAAAGGGTGAAACTACCTGAAGTCATTTTCTCCTTCTCACCCTTCCATCTAAGCTGACTCTCATAGTGTAGACAAGCCATCCTTTAGCAGAAGTGCCAACAAGTATATGCTCTTGAAAGGGGTTCCTTCTAGCATGCCAGAGTGCTTCCTCTGACAATGTTGTTTTAGATGGAATTTACTACATAGTCAGTTCTATCTAAAATAACAGTCCATAGCTCTTAGCAGACACCAGAGTATATTATCAAGAGTCTTGGGATGTTTAAAACTATTTGCATTTTACTATCTTTGTTTTGGTTCTTGTTTTAGGTATAACAGCTGCAGCAATGGCTGAGGCAATGAAGCTGCAGAAGATGAAGCTTATGGCTATGAATACTCTTCAGGGAAGTGGAAGCCAAAATGGGACCGAATCAGAGCCTGATGATCTTAATTCTAACACGGGTGAGTGTCTTTGGGAATCCCAGGCAGGTGAATCTTACTGTTTTCTTGTGTAGTGGGAGAGAGGAGGGATGGGGGTGTGAGAATAATGTGTATACTTTGACTATAAGTAGTTACTCAAGAAGGATGCTTAACACTATTGCTAACTTGTACATGGAAATTAGAAAACCATTACAGGTCAGAATCTCATTTTGGAAGCATTTGGATACCTTCATTATTTTATTGCAATGGAATTAAATTCTAATTCTTATAATATTAGATGTGCTCTCTGCCTGCCAAAGGCGGATCCATTCCAGCTTCATCCCAGAATTTTTACTCTATCCTTCTCTAAATAGCTTACCACTGAAAGGCAATGCTGAGAATCCAGTTTAGCTGGGCTTCAGTGTTTTCAGCAGAAGTACAACCACCTTAGCAAAATGAATGTGCTGGCAGACTCCAGGCATTATCGACAAGAGCTAAAGAAAAGAGGTAGAACAAGGAGCAGGCCAAAAAGGAAAGATGACTGTGAAGTGCAATGTTCTCTCCTATCTACTACTTTATTTTTTAAACCCATGATAATTGTGACTTGGCCTTGATAATAAGACCCTTCAATTCTCTTTTGGAAGTAGATAGGATTATAACTATCAACTTACATGAATGGATGGATGGGTAAATAAATATGATTTGATTTAAGTGCAGAAAAGTAAGGGGCAATTAAAAGATAGTCTTAGGAGCCACAGATTTCCAAACTAACTCAGCAGTTAAAGTCAATATAATGTGATAGGTAGATTGGCAGCTGCCTTACATATGTACTCTTCTAGGTTTCTAGAAGTTTAAGCATGGTACGGTTTTATTTTGCAGGAAGGGGAATTAAAGAGGGAAATGATTGAATCAAATTTTTATGAGATTTACTCTGACTTTACCAGTGTAGATATTGTCATCTAAAATTACAGTGTTCATGTTGAGTTATAGAGTGAGAATTGCTTTTCAACCAGTGTTCACAGTGGTACTTTCTTTCTATATAGCCTGAATGCAATTTACTGAGGAAACAATGGAAAATGCACATTTGCTGGATTTACAGGAACTGGAAGCAACCCATAGATAAGATTAAAATTAACACCAAGCAAAGAATAATAATGGCAGTAAGAATAGTTGCCAGTTACTGTGTACTAAGTACCTCTCATTATGAATTCATTTCATTTTTTATCAAAATCCTGAGAAAAGTAATCTTCCAAAACTCTCATTTTACAGATCAGGAAACAGAGGCACAGGGTGGTTCATCTTTGTTCATAATCACAAAGCTAATAAACTGCAGACCTAAGTTTCAATCTTGTGTCTGGTTAAGTCCAAAGTATTTGCTCCTTCCACACGCTACCTCCTCTACAATGGTGTTTGGTAATGGGAATTTGACTTTATCAATCCCCTAGAATAAAAAAATGTTAAAATTAGGACAAAGTGAGAAAACTGATGATTAATTTTCTAATCTTTACTCATAATGCCTTTCAAATCAGAGTCTTGCTCTGTCACCTGGGCTAGAGTGTTGTGGCATCAGCCTAGCTCACAGAAACCTCAAACTCCTGGGCTCAAGTGATCCTGCAGCCTAAGCCTTACAAGTACCTAGGACTATAGGCACATGCCCCATGCTTAGCTAATTTTGTTCTATTTTTCGCTCTTGCTCAGGCTGGTCTCAAGCTCCTGACCTCAAGTGATCTTTCCACCTTGGCCTCCCAGAATGTTAGGATTACAGGTGTGAGCAAACACACCCAGCCCCTGGCTATCAAATCTTAAAGTGTCTTAGAAATGACTCATATTCAACCAGAAGCCTTTTATAATTCAATATTGTTATAAAGGAATGTTTTATATAGATAAAAATTAGTGAGAACTCATGCAGCAGTTTCTGTCATGTTTGTCTCAGGGATATCAATTTCAGAAAAAGACTTTCTACAAAATTTCTGTTTCTCCTTTATACCAATACATTATAAAACATTTTGAGATATATACTGGTGGCCTAATTTCTAACTCACTAAATATTTAATAATTTTTCTGGCTAGATATAACCTGGCCTAACTCCAGATATGCATTATTGTGATAAAAGCAAGTATTAGGTTACCATCTGTGTATGATGTTATACTTGGTGCTATAGAAGTAGAGTGACAGTAGTCACTATCCTTGACCATGCAGAGATTCTAATCTAATTATCCTTATTTTGATGTAATGAAGGAAGCACACTTGAAATAGTATGATTATAATTATTGTTTTTTTTTTTAATTTCTTTCTTTTTTTTTTTTTTTTTTGGTAGAGACGGGGTCTCACTCAGGCTGGTTTCGAACTCCTGACCTTGAGCAATCCGCCCGTCTCGGCCTCCCAAAGTGCTAGGATTACAGGCGTGAGCCACCACGCCCGGCTATAATTATTGTTGTTATGTAGATTTATATGAAGTACCTGAGGTTTTTCAAAGTCTGGATAAATGAAATCCCTGCTTTAATGGAAAATAATAAACTACAGTTTAAGTGAACATTCATAAATGGAAATATTTTTAAAGAATTATAGATATTAATTTATTTTGTAATCTAGGGACTAGTATGTCTTTGATGCACTCTGGGTCTCCTATCTCAGGATTTAAACTGAAATCAAAGACTGGGCTTGATTTTTCTTTTTTTGACTTTCATCCACTTTTTTGCCTTCCAAGAAGGCAAGGAAATAGATAATCTTGACAAGATAGATCACAGTTAATAGCATTTAGGGTCTGATTACTAGTTATGGGCATGTTCTTCCAGAATGTTTATCACTCAAGTAGAACTGGAAAATTATATATTTAACCTTTAAAAAAAGCTAGATCTTGGAAAACTGCTGACACTATTTACAAGGTAGGTACCGGATCTAATCAAGCAAAGTCAGTCAATTTGATAATAATAATTGAGTTGTGAAGTATCATGAGAAATACACATTGAATGTTTTCATTATTTAAATGGTGACAGAGAAGTGAGCATTAGATTATGATACAGCTATTTTCAGCTTTGTTACACATAATTCCAATGGTACATATAGAAGTGACTAGCAAATAATAGACATTCCATAAGGGGCAAGTGTGTGAATAAAGTGAGCATTGTGGTTAGTGACCATTTTTTAGCCATTCCATGAAAGATTAGAGTAATCATTGAATATGATTCTCAACAAAGTTCTATTTTCATATTTATTAATCATCCACAATATTCCAACAGTGAAAAACGCAATATGTTGGTACTCTGAGGAGGGAATATAAAAATCGGTAGATTTCAGGAAAACACAAGATTTCAAAAGCTTGTGATATAGATAGGAGAGGAGATAACAAAATTAATCAATATATAAATGACTGTAGTCTGATATGGAATGTGATAAAAGCAGGAAGAGAAACCAATTCTTTTGAGAATATAGAGAAAGAAGAAACTTTTTCTAATAATGTCAAAAAGGAAATCAAGTGTAGGCTGTAGCATTTGAACCAGTATTTGAAGGATATGAAAGTGAAAATCCTAAAATGGATGGCTTTGAATGAAGTATTAAACAGCCTGTACTTTTCCCCTGACAGTTGTCTACAAATAGTGGTTCTCAGAGGTCTCAGGCCATCTCTAGGAGTTGAGTAAGAGTTGAGGATATGGCTTGAAGAAACTTTATGTTTGATGACTAGAAAGTTTTGATTAATTACATTCTTAGGTTAGCTATAAAGCTCCTATTGTTTACAATCTTATTGACAAATATTTCCAAAATCAAATTTTAGAGTTCTAAGTAACTTGAGATAGTTAAATCCAAAGCCTTCATACTATAGATGATGCTTGAAGGATGAGAAATTGGCTTGTTGTCACACACCTAGGTAATGAAAGAGATATTGATTCATAGTCCCAGGATATTTCTGCGGTAACATTATTCCTCCATTTTAATTGCTTTTCTAGTATAGTCTAAACTACATAATGGATGTTTTTCCTTGATATTGAATCTCAATCAATAACTCTAGAGATAGAGCTACAGCTGATAAAGAAGATTGTACTTAATTTGGCCTGACCAAAGTTCTGTTTACGAGATACATACCAGACCTCAGGTCATACCTGAACTGACCTCCAGATCTAATCTGGGCATTACTATTTTGACTCTAACTCTGATAGGTATTCTTGATATTATCCTCTTTCTCTTCAATTAAGTGAGGAAACAAATGTTTCACTTGGAGTTATGAAATTGTGTCCAATTAATCAAGCCTTAAAAATCATTCTAGATCCACAAATATTCCAAATAAATTCTAAATATGAATTAGAATTGCCTATCATTTTTATGTATAACTTCAATGGCTTAAGTTCCAGCTCAGAAATAAAGTTGAGTGAATATTTTCTATCCCTCTATTATAAGCAGCGTTTGTAAGGCACAATTTGAAATATAAATAAATGATGTCTCGTCATTCCATGTATTTGTGGTCATATGAACATTTTATCTGAGAGGACAATTTTTGGCTCTGATAAACCATCCTCAAAATAATCTATGTAACCAGAAACTTAAAAAACACTAAACTTTTTTTAAGTTCAGAAGAAGCATGCTTTTGTTCTTATTTAGTTAGTTAGTTTAAATTGACACAAATAATTATATATATTTATGGGATGCAGAGTGATGTTGTGATACATATAATGTATAGCGATCAGATCTGAGTAATTAGCATATCCATCATCTCAGACATTTATCATTTTATTGTGTTGTGAACTTTCAATATGTTCTAATTTAAATGCCATATTGTAGCAGCATTGCTATTCAATTTCATCATTCTTATTAGTTGTTAAATCCCCAGAAGTCAAAGTATGACAGCTATAAAAAGATATCAAATATTCCATTAAAATTTTGCTGTTGGTATTAATATGTTTTCCTATTTGTCATTTTAAAGGGATGATATTTCATTTTTTGGCGCATTACTTGTAAATTCTTTTTCCAACCCCTTACTACCCATTGACTCTTTGACTCTTACCCTTTAATTGTGAAAGTCTTGGCTTTTATTTGTGATTGGTTTTATA